CTCCCCGCTGTGCGCAAGGGCGGGGGGGGTCGCCGGGTACCTCCCCCCCGGCCCTGCCCGGTGCAGGGAGCTGGCAGCGCTGGGGACCCCCCCTGCCCCCGAGGTGTCACCATCACCCGTTGCTCCCCGAGGGGAGGGGGGGGCCCCGCTGCCTCCCCTCCGCAGCTCCCCGCTTTCCCCAGGTTGCAGGTTCCATGGGGTGGGGGGTCCCCGTGGGCCCTGCTCCCCCTGCCTGGGCACCCTGGGTGGCCCAGAGCGCAGCCAGGCTGGAGCTGTTCTCCCATTTCCTTAAATAAAGCACTTAATATGGCCTCAAATTCTACTCTTGCTGACCCAACAGCCAGGGACGTTCCCCACCCTGTGTCTTGTTACGGTGTAAATGACTGAGACCCTGTGAGCACAGAATGCGCCTGCCCATGCTGAGGGTGACAAGGTGCTGAGGGTGACAAGGTGCTGAGGGACCAGCTGGCACAAGGTGTTGATGTGCCCAGGGTGTCCAGCAAACAGTGAGTAAATCCATCACCTGCAAAGGCAGCACCCACAGCCCTGCTCTCCCGGCCAGGCTGCTGCGGGGTCCTGCTCCACGCTCCGAAGGGCGAGTGCCCCAGCGGCCTTGGAAAGGGGTGAGGAGCAGTGCTCAGTGTGACCACGGCACCTTGCAGGGTCACGCTGCATGGGGGCAGCCCAGCTGCAGCCCACCTGGGGTTGTAATGCGCCAGAGCAGCGCAGCTGCGCTGCATCAGGGCTTGCAGCGACCGGGCAGGTTGGTGTGGCTGCAATGCATTGGGGTTGCAGTGACTTGGGGGTCAGCAAAGCTGCAACACATCAGGGCTGGGGGGATGGGGGCAGTGTGGCTGCAATGCATTGGGGCTTGCAGCGACTGGAGGGTCAGTGTGGCTGCAATGCATCGGGACTTGCAATGAGCTGCAGGGCTGGTGCAGCCGTGATGCACTGGGGTTTGCAGTGACCGGGGCAGAGCAGCTGCAGCCCCTACTCAGTTAGGGGGCAGAGGAAGGATGGTGGGGACAAAGCTGCCTCCACACAAACATGAACCTGAACCCCACGATGCCCCCTGCCCGCCCCAGCTCCCCAGCTCTCTGCCCATCCCCAGGCTGCAGCTTCACCCTCCCTGCCCGGCCCAGCCGCCCCAACTCAGGGCTCCCCCCAGGCACAGCGGCATTCTCGCCCCCACCCCCACTTTCCAATCCAGGATATTTGGGTTGCTGGCGGGAAGCGCCGTCTAATCTGCCCTCTAATCCCGCAGCCTGGCGCCGCGGGGCAGGGGGTCTGGGCACGGAGCAGCCCCAGCCCTGCCGGCCCCGCCGCGG